ATCAACAAAACCAAAAGTTGGTTCTTTGAAAGAATCAACAAAATCGACAAACCACTGGCCAGACTGACAAAAGAAAAACAGGAGAGGACGCAAATAACCCAAATGAAATCATTCCCTCACACTTCCATAGCTTCATCCAACAAGTACTGTTTTAGACACGATTGCATCCACTGCTCGTTTAAAGTAAGTGGTATGATGAGCAGGCAGAGGGTAAGGTAAGGGAGGAGGCATCACTGAGCTCTTATGATTGAATTCACCTACACTGAACAAGACCTCTACATATAGTAGAAGGATTTATAAAGCGTGATGGGAATACAGCTGAAAGAGCAACTAGCTTTGCTTTGCAAACAATGAAAACGATACTTTAGCACCTGAGTTTTAGATAGCTTTACTTCCTTAAAACCTGGACTCTCAGGGATCAACAGAAAAATATACATGTATATATTTTTTGGTATGTATATGAAGTGTGAGTTTATTACTAAGAACTTTCTCAGAAGCTTGAGTTCTTTTACGTCTTGAATAAAGTGCCTCTGGGTGGACTCGAATCAATATTTTGGTACCATTTTCATCATTTGCAGAACACAATTATTCCCACAATTCCACTTTTTTAAAAAATGCTACTAGCGGTATCAGATATGACATCAGTTTAAGAGTAAAACCCATCACTCACTGAGTCCTAAGGAGAGAGCTCAGTGGGCTTAGAGCATCTGTTCCAGCCTGCAAGGGAGTTCTCTGGCCTCCCAAAAATCCTTTAACAAAACCACTGATTTGTTTTTTCTAAATGATTGCATAGTGCACTTTCTCTTTGTTAGAGCTGCATGTTTTTTGCAATAACTTGTATTATTACAAGTTAAGCAAAGTGATAGAGGCTGTCACTGGGCATCAATAACCACAGTCAATGGTCATCAGCCAAGAAGCCTCCAGAAGACGGTCCAGCATTTAGTTCCACTTTCCTGGTGTGCTGCTTGTCTTTTTCTGACTGGATTGGGTAATTAAAGATTCCAAGTCTAAAATAAAACATCTTGCAATCTAATCAAGAGTGGGGGTTGGGAATCAATCAATAGGCAAGAGGGGGGAAATGATATTGCTAAACATCTGCCCATGTTTGAGCATTCTGAGTACAATATGTCATTAGGGTGAATGGGAATATACTGTTAGTGGCTAACAGCTGATGCTGCAATAATATGGCCATATGAAACCATCAACTTATATGAACTACCTGAAACACTTCATTAGGTAATTTTTTTTTTTGCATGAGGCAGCACTTGCATCTTTGCAAAAGGATAATAAAAATTTGTTCGAGTCACTAGATTTAATGGACAAAACTTTCTAGCTGTATTCATGTGGGTCCTGCTGTGTCATCTGTTGAAAAGATGCCATTAAATGCTTCCTGAATATAGATCATTCTTTACTTGGGGAGAAGTTCACTCCATCACAGAGAGATAGTGATGATCATAAAATCAAAATCTGTTTCCCTTAAGTACCATAAGAAGTGCACAAAATACAGAGTCCTCATAAACATTTTTAAAACATCAGGGGGTGAGCTGGGACTAAATATCTCAAAATGTCTTCTCCAGGCTATGGTGCTGAGTAAAAGTCTATAATACAATATTTCCAATTATTAATAAAACAGAAATAGCAGAAAATCCCAAGTATTAGTAATGCTCTCTCTATAAGTAGGAATTTATTAACTCTATACCTAAATATTTTGGGGGCAAAAAAAAATACATTTAATCAGAAAATGGAGGATTAATTGATTATCTAATCTTTTCCAGAATAAAAATAATGCATAGACATTAACTACGAATAATTATTCAAGGGCAAATTATCTAGTTTGGGGGACATTTCATATGTTCGTTGCTCCTTCCTTTCCTGAGATCATCCTTGGCTATTTCTCTGCTTTAATAGTCCTCATTAGAATCTTCACCAAACAATGGTTAACCTGAGGGAAATGAAACCAAGCTATGTCAACTTTGCTACTAGTTACTCACAAAAGGTTAGCTAAAAGGAAATGCTGAAACCACCGTATTGGTTAAAATGAAATCTGGAGGCAATGTTGATTTTTACTGACCTGTGATCTCTGTTTTTTTTTCCATATCAGGGAGCTTAATCCTCTGGTATCAGACTGACCTGGGATCAAATCCTAGCTCTTCTGTTCACTAACTGGGAAGTAAGTTCTCTCAGCCATAGTTTTCTCATCTATAAAATGGGGTTATAGTAGCCATCTTACTGGATGTGTTTAAGAAGTGGCATTATATATGCAGTACTCCCTGCACAGGGCCAGACATCTAGTGTGCACTCAATACAAATAGCAATTATTATTGACTGAGTAAACAAGCTCAGACACCTTCACAGACAAGTATATTCACACCCATCCTACAGAAGAAAAAGAAAGAAAAGTGATCTGGGGATACTTCCAAAAAAATTACAGAGCAAATAAATCAAGTTAGGATTATAATCCAAGTCAGAATGGTCCCTCATACTGAGAGGAAAGATCTGCAGTGCAGGAGAGCAAAACTCAAGCTGAGCCCCACTTAGCCTTTGTTATACTCAGTAATCTCAAAACTGTCGCAAAGTTTTTCTGCTAATCAGGTGTCTAATCTAAAAATCAAAGTAACGGCAACTCACCTAAATAATAATACATCATCTCTCTTTGACTAATCAAAGCGCATCATTTATTCTTGCCCACTTATGGGGCTTGGGATGGTAGTTTTACTATTTTAGATTACTATAAACATATACAGTTATACCTTTCCTTTATAATCTCTTGATGCTCTTAATGGAGATTAATCCCCTGTGTGGAGCTGTGAGGGAGTTGAATTACTTGTCTGTTAGTGGTAAAGTTGAGACTAGGACTTAGTTTTTCTGATTCTCCCAGCTCAGAACTTTCTCTTATATGTCATATGATGATATGACAAAATATAATATACAATTCTTGATAAAAAATTCAGCCCTTAGTTTCAACATACTTCCTATGGAGAAATATTATGCACCTATGACTTACTAAGGATAAAAGTTATCATATATAATACATATTTTCTATACATATATGTATATATTATGCCATATAATGACTATATTTGCATATATAGTTCTGGATATAGTTACTGTCTACATAATGTTGTTGTTAGGTGCTATGATTTTGACTCATAGCAATCCCATGTGACACAGTAGAACTGCCCCATAGGGTTTCCCAGGCTGTATGTAATCTTTACAGAAGCACCTAGAAACCCCTATGGGACTTGATGGCAACAAGTTTGGTTAATCTTTACGGGAGTAGATTGCCAGGTCCTTCTACCATGGAGTCACTGGGTGGGTTCGAACCACCAACCTTTCGGTAAATAACAATAAAAACAACCTTGCCAAAGGACAGAAAACAAACGGCTACAATCTTTCAAAGTAGGGGACTCAGTGTGTGTCATGGATTGAATTATGTCCCCCCAAAAATGTGTGTATCAATTTGGCTGGGCCATGATTCCTGATATTGTGTGGTTTTCCCATACATTGTAAATCCTGCCTCTATGATGTTAATGAGGGAGGATGGGTGGCAGTTGCGTTAGTAAGGCAGGACTCAATCTACTACACTGGATTGTGTCCTGAGGTAATCTCTTGAGATATAAAAGAGAGAAGTGAGCAGAGAGATGGGGGGGGGGGGAAGCTCATACCACCAAGAAAGCAGTTCCAGGAGCAGAGCGTGTCCTTGGACCCAGGGTCCCTGTGCAGAGAAGCTCCTAGTCCAGGGAACATTGATGAGAAGGCCAACAGAGAGAGAAAGCCTTCCCCTGGAGCTGACACCCTGAATTTGGACTTTTAGCCTACTTTACTGTGAAAAAATAAATTTCTCTTTGTAAAAACCATCCACTTGTGGTATTTCTGTTACAGCAACACTAGATAACTAAGACAGTGTGGGATTGAATTAAGCAGAAAGATGGAGAGGATAGGTGTTAAAATAGATTTTAAAGAATGAGACAATGGAGTAAATCTTTCGTATTGGAGAAAAACAGAAGATGAATTTAGAAAGGTAGATAACTGGGTGGAGGGAGCCCCATGCCAGGATATGAATTTTAACCTATGGCATGGAGTTCTCACAGCTTTTTGCCCATAGGACTTCCAAGGCTGTAATCTTTACAGAAGTACCTAGAAAACCCTATAGGGCAGTTCTCCTCTGTCACATGGGGTTGCTATGAGTCAAAATCA